CGTGCTCCCACGGCCGCGGGGGCCGAGCCGACCGCGACGGCGGAGGAGGGGCTGCTCCCGGCAGCCTCGCCCGGAGGCACCGAGGGCAGCCGAGTCCAGACGCGGCAGCGCCGACGAGGAAGCCCGCCAGGCGCGGGCGAGCGCTCCTCTCAAGGAGCGTGGTTTCCGTGCCGCTGGTGGGACTGCGGAACTCGAGACGCGGCAGGCGAGTTCAGAAGGACACTTACACGGTGTCATGTCAGTGTTCTCGCTGTAGTTCTCGGAGTGAAAAACCCAACAACACACATTCTTATCAGCCACCTGCCTTGTGATTGAAAATCATAACCGTGAAAAATGCATGTCGTTTTACGTGAAATGGCATAGAGCAGTTTCTGAGAACAACAGTTTCCCACCCTTTCCCACTCACAGTCCAAGTTTCCGAGGGAAATCTCTTCAAAGACTTTGAATGTTCAGTCTTCATTTGCGTCCGTAATGCCAGGTAACATGCTTTTACCTTCCCGCCTTCTTTCGTTCAGTGACGCTCTCTGCTGATATCCTGGGAAGATAAGGATTCAGCTCTGCAAACTGCCCCTCCTAAGTATTTAATACTTGTGCATTTTAGACATCGTCTTAGTTCTAGTTCTAGTTTTAAATTACTTCTGCATCAATTCCACTTTTCCTCTCCACTCTCACTCCAAGTTCTGCTTTCTATTGGGAAATTAGGAAACCAGAGTCAAGAAAATTTGCCAGAGTGTCAAGCAAAAGGACAAAGAAAGAAAAAACATGGGGAAAAGGTCCATCATTCAACTAATTCAAATTTTGGTAATGAAGAACATAGAAAATCACAGAGATGAAATTGTCAAAGAAATGGTATGACAGAATTTCAGAGAGTTGGAAAAAAACACTGGTGTTGAAACAGCCCAGAGAGTGCCCAACAAAATAAATAACGTATACTGAGGCATATCATCCTGAAATTTCAAAATATCTGAAGGTCAAGGGAATAAAAGATATCCTAAAATTTTCAAGGAGAATAAACAACTCTTCCAGGTGCAGTGAGAATCAGGACTAATAACCTGATTATTGTTATATAATAACCACAGCAGAGCAATATCTTCTAGGTTTTAAATGAAAATGATATTTTATTCAAAATGGGATACACTGCCAAATACTCAGTGGAGGTATTTCCTGACACAGAAAGACTCAAAATAGTTCTAATTTACATTTTCCTAGATAGTTCCTTGAGGATGCACTGCAGCAAAATAGGGTATTAAGCCAAGAAAGAACATGAGATGCAGGAAACAGTGGAACGTGATCCAAGAGAGCAATTGTGGTGAACCCAAAGGTGAGCGCTATGTGTCAGTCCTAAAGAGAAACGAGTCCTGATTGGAGTGGAATGAGGACGGACTCTGGAGGTCTCTGAAAAATCACAAAACTAAAATAAAACCAAACCAGAAACCCCCAGTACAATAGAGCCAATAGTAATATTGAAGTTTTTAAAATTGAGGATGTGATAACAGAGCAATTTCCATAGAACAGCGGTTAGCAAATCGAGTAATTTTTGTATAAAAAATAATCACCTAATATGTGGCTAACTAAAATATTATACTGTTTTATTCAATCAAATGAAGGTAAGGAAAGAAAATCCATTTACTTTCAATCTGCTGTGTGTTCTTTCAATTCACCGAGAGTCGTGACAATGTACTCATGAAGAAATACAATTCTTGCTCCCAAATGGGCAATTTTTACAGATATTCTCATTGTATAGAATGCAGTTCACTGGTTTTTAAATTTTAGTTTCAATTTTTTTATCGAAGAAAAAAATATTGGTTCTAATGAAAGACAGAATGTAAATGTTAAGAACTTAATATAAAATAAAACTACATCTACTATTACAGTATTAACTTGTATTTTCCTGATGATTAATAAGGTTGTGCATTTTTTTCATGTATTTATAGCCATTATATTTCTTCTCTTTTTGTGTGTGCAAAATGCTTGTCGTTTGACCACTTTTATTTTGCAGAACCAAAGTTCTTAGTTTTAATGTAATTAAA